GCATGCTGATAGCTACTGTTGTAAGACAGAGATGAATAAGGCTACTTTCCCATTTTCTTGAAGGAATCAACTTTCACATGCTATCTAAGTTACGCAGTAGGTTAACTTCATCTTAATAAATACATTCCATTATGAGGTGCAATGAAGACAGAGTAAACAAGCTCAGTTTTGATTCAAAATTAACAGTGTTTCAACTGTAAATTGGCATCCCTTGTAGAAGCATAAAGAAACCAGGGGAATGATGCATTCTAGGCTTAAAAACAAATGTATTAGTATATGTTGACTGGGTGTAAACAACTTCACATGTCCAGTTCCCAAAGCTGGAAATAATCATCTATCAGTCTAGTTTGAAATGTGATTACCAAGCTGAGAGACTCAACACCACCATAGTGTTGCACTTTGCATTAATGTTACATAAGTGGAGGTCATCAACAGGAAACTCGACTTAATTTTCGTGTTTATTGGGACTCATCAGCAAGGAGTATTTCAGAACTCGACGGAAATAGTATCTTCCTTGCATTGCAGTATTCCAATGAAGCATTCAGACCGTTTCTGAATGCAATAACTATAACAATGATTAGTATTCCCGTGAAACACGGGGCTTCAGCAGCACTAACTTCATAATTGGGTGTACACTTTCATTTCGTCCTTACACGATCTCCTCTATGTGTCTGTCTCCCTTAGGCCCTAAGCCAAACTCGTCGTCTCCCATCCGGGTTCCACTAGAAAGACTTTGTGAGTGATGTCACTGTTAGAAGCCTCCTCCTCAGCATGAGAGTTCAGCCTATCTCCATTTCTCCTTCGGAATATTTGTTGAGCAACAGAACTAACCATTAGACTACTGATAACTAATTTACAGTTAGCTGTATAGATGATAAGGCTAATGAGAGATATCTAAGACATAAAATATATTAGCCACAGTCGATAAAACGGCCTCTATACATACAATCATTCTTCAAACTCGGAGAATATGAAAATAAAGCATAAATCCAACATGTGATAAATCATCTCCTTCGAATTAAATGAAACATAAAGCAGCAACACGTGATTATAAATCACATGCTGACTTTATGTTCTATTGAAATGAACCAATAAGCGCGAATGAATGAATACCGGTTTTAAAGAGTCACCACACTCTATCTCTATCTCTCTATTGTTAACTAATAATTTAACAATATAGAATAAATTACACGTGTATAAAATTGTACACAAATAATTATGGATGTTTAACACATGAAAACTAATTCCTATTCTCATTAAGAGAAAAAAAAAGTGAACTGATGCACTACACTGTAAATAACAGTATAGTGTCAGCTGTCTTCGCATATATAATACAACAACAGCCTTGATATTGAAACATATCTCTAGTCCGTGAAATGGGTGAACACACTAACAACATTCGAGAATATTTATACAACCATACTTATCATGGCTACCTCCTTTATCATCACATGGTAGATGGTGACAACATTACAAAAATATACCTCATGAATTTACACAATATATAATACATTTTATATAAAAGGACAAGAATAAAAACGACAAAAACATGTTATCAACAGATTCATTAAAAAAAAGAGATAGTTAGTACATTTATCAGCTTTCTTAACCCTTATAGAAAAATATACTGATGAATACACACAGACATTTCACTAGATCTGAAGATCTTTATTCAGAGACTGCCAAATAAACACTCAGTAAGCTACCGTTATATTTCTTATTCACAATGAAGAGAAATTCGATGGAGAACTGTTAGTAAACTATATTATAAACTACAGTTGTTAAGATAAACTACGCCTTAACAACCCATATTTCACAGTCTATCTCGAAAGTGCTTGATGGGACCATTGTTTCATTAAAGCCTTGGTGTGTGTAAAAAAAAACTGTACGCACATTTAGACAAGTCACTTTGACATACATGAATGTTGTCCTTAATGTGGAGATATGACCAGCCAACGAGTCCTGATTTCGAATATCGCTTCAATTCCTTCAGACACCACACAATAAGTATTGTTCATAACTAGAGGTGATGAAGATGCCTAACCACCACCACCAACAAGCATTAATCACCATCAGAGGGAGAAATCTGCGTCAGTGGTAAAGCGGTTAAGACGCTCGCCGAATATACACATGGTCCGGGGTTGGATCCCCGGCCGACGCACTCCTTTACCTCGCTAAGCCAGTATTAAGACTGATAAAGAGGGAAGGTTAGGCATAAGGCTAGCAACCCCATCCTGTAAAGATAAACACTGCCACAAAAGCTTCAAGCCTCTAGCCTGAAGCCCTATGTTCCACTAGGAACGTGAAGGAACACAAAAGGGAGAAATCTAAAGGAAGTAACCCCTTCCATTTATCTAGACAGCATCATCTCAACTACGGGCGTACAGGATCGGGAAAGTAAGACAGACGCATCCATTACTCTGATATCGGTATGATTCCTAACACAATAAGATTCAAATTTCCAACATCAATTGTCAAAACGGTACTTCTAATATGGTGCAGACACTTGGCACATTACGTAAAGTATTTGCAACAGGCTTCTGCAGACTTTCATCAACACCTATCATCGCTCGATGTATTCACAATTGGATGGCGAGAAAAAACATAAACAACGAGAAATCCTGAGAACCTATTGCTGAACCAATATGCAGAAGGAAAAAGAGATGGATTAGACACACGCTGACGAGACTGTTGAATGACACTACAAGCCAAGTTCTTATTCAAACTTCACTGGGAGACAAATAAGGAATTTGGCATTGGTCCAAGGAAAATATGGTGCAGAGCATGAAACCCCAGCTACGAACAACTGCAGTGAGTGATGTCCTGTTGAAGCCCTATGTCCCACTCAGAACCCAAAGGAACATTAATATAAATATAATGGTAGCCTTAGTGTTTGAATCTCGTCTATTAAATGAATTTCCCCCCACCCACCCACCCACTCGCATCGATCGACTAATGCTGAAATCAAGTTAGCAATATATCGACGAACAAACTTCCTATCATGATGCATTACCGTAACTATGTTTCACCTCATCAATACGAGAATAGCCTCAGAAGAGTAGCTAAGCTCACTCTCCATCTACACACACACACACACACACACACACAGACGATAAACCGAAACGGATTCCAAGTACACAGAATCATTCTCACATCACACAGTGGTTATAAGGAAAACAAGAAGTCAGTACAAATAGGTATGTCAAATCATTTAATTTATTTTTTGCTTTGTTTTTTTTTGGTTGAATAAATCACAATCTCATCAGGGTTTGTTTGTTTATTTAAATTTATTACACCAAAATAACACAACAATACACAAAGAAGACAAACGCATCCACCAATAATTTTGTTGGTGTTCTTGTTTGTTTGTTTGTTTATTCGTTTATTTGACTGGTTTGCTTCTTGATTTGTTTGTTATTAAATAGTCATTATAGAAGAAGTAGAAGAACAAGAAGAAGAAGAGGTCAAACAAAGCATTGTGTAATGTTGAAACCAGAACAAACAAAAAATAATAATAATAAAACGAATACTTACAACTAAGTACACACAGGCACTCACTCATGAAAGCTCATACACTTTAAAGTTTTCAACTGTGAAAAGCACACACCCTCACACAGATATTTATTTACACATGAAATATAAAACCAGTGTGTATTTGTTATATGAATATGAATAGATAGTGTTGAAGATATGCTTAATACACAAACAACAATATTCACAAAGTGTGAACGGTCAAAAATACATACACACATCTAAATGTCTACAAAATATGTATATGTATAGAGAGAGAGAGAGGGTAATTATAATAGTAGTAATAATAATAATGATAGCGCATGAAAGACCTATGACATCATCACAACGACCACAACAAAAACAGAATAACAGAATACACACAAACCAAACAGTAGTAGTAGTGGTGACAAAAGGAGAGAGAGTGGTTAAAAATAAGACAGAGAAGAGGATTTTAAAAATACATTTATGTATATTTTTTATGTGCATCAATTTATATATATGTAAACACACATTGGCATACTTTTGAGGAAAGAATTCCCCACACAGTTAAACATAGCACAATATGATAAATAAAAACAACCAATTTTTTTGCTTGTAAAGATGTTTTGTCCGTAAAAAAAAGAGAAAATGCTCTTCATCAACAAGTGTAAATAGCACAGACATGGAAGGAGAGAGGTGTGTGTATTGGTGAACAACAGGGAATACGGGGACTAAAATGAGAAGTCAAAGAAATAGATTTGAGACTATTTTCGGAGGGAGGAGGAGGAGGCGGCAAATAATAGTGCGTGTGTGTGTGTATGCACAAAACACTGTCACAGGTGACAACCAACCAATAAACCCGGAGGAAATTGATACATGTATGTATGTATGTATATATTCGCACATACACAATAGACAAGATATTTTCAATTCACCGGACAAAGAAAGAACGCGAGTGAAAAGGACAAAGAGGGGAATAGCAGTGTAAGTGTTGTACAGAAAATAGCCCATAGATTTTTTTTCAATGCCCTATGAAATAGGGTTAACTTGTTTTCGCATGAATTTTGTGTTATTGTTGTGGTTGTTGAGAGTAACATTATCAAATGTATCATGTTGAAATAATTGTATGTTTATGCACAATAGATGATATACACACATTTGTTGAGAAGCACAAATATCACAGAGATTATCTGCGTGATAGAGAATAGTATAGCTGACACCCAACCAACACCGCCATTATTATTACTGACAAGCTTCCACTCCTACCCACCATCACCATCAACAAAGTTGATCACAAAAAGAGAAGCACGAACTGTCACTGTCCTCTATCGCTTTCTTCCATTTAATTTGCATTCTTTACTTTTTAGTTCAGAAAGCAACATACACACACACACGTGGAAGAAAATCAGTTTGCTTTCCAAATTTACAGATCACATTATTATTAACTATTACATAAGCCTATAGTATAAGTAAGTGTGACTTAGTTGATCACAATAACTGTAAAGGTGTAGATGATCGAATGTATGTGAAATGTCCATTCACGTGTAAAAGCAACACACACACATACTGACAAGGCAAGAAACAAAACCAACTCGGTTAGAAAAGATTAACATGAAAGAGATTATTTATTTAGACAAAAGAAGGGAAGAGAAAAGTGGAAGATAACTTTGCATTATATGTAATATAAATGTACACCCACATAAAGAGAGAGAGAGAGAGAAAAGGAAGAAGATACCAGAATCTAAAATAATTCAATGCATATTTTATTTATTTATATATTTTAATTAGGCATCAAGATAAGAGTAATGCAAAGATTTCTGAGAGGAATTAATTGCAAAATCAGCATGACACAAGTTTAGACTACAACCAAAAGAAAAGAAACTATGATCATTTGTCACACACAAACACATTCATATTTAAAGAAATTAGTTGTAATGTTATTCTTAGTAATAATAATAATAATAATAGCAAGGAGAAGATGGAAGACATGATGAAATGAACCCGCTGGCAAATGGAATGTGTACACTATGCATACATTGACACACACACACGGGCATAATTCAAAGCGAGTTAAAGAATTGGAGATCTATGCAGTACAGAGTACAACACTGCTGTTACACACAGTTTCTCCTTCGTCCACCATCCCTCACCACTGCAAAACCTCGTCTTCTTCTTCTCATTTGTCGCTTGATGAATACATTCACTGGCTGGCTGGCTATCAAGTTCTTCTTTTAAATGTTTTACTGGACACAAAAAAGGCAAACTGTGAAAAAAACAATGAGAAGGTGAAGATAGAATAAAATGACAAGCACTTTTTTATCCACCTACATCATCATTGGCGGAGGAGGGGGGAGGCACAAATGTTGTGTGACGCACATATATATAGTATAGTTCACTTCATTGCCAAATTAACTCTGGATACATTTATAATTGAAGAATAGGTGGAAGAAGGAAATGACAAATAGTTGTAAGGTAAAATAAATGCCTCACTACATACTTACACACACACACACATACACCATTGTACTTTAATAGTAAATATATATATATAAATAAATATCTTATCCTTTTCTTACATATAGGAAAGCAGCTTACGTACAACACCTCTCTCTTAGTATGCATTTGTAAAGAAAAAGAAACATAGGAAACATGGAACAATGTGGAAGTCTAAATTTTTTTAAAAAAAATAGGAAATGCTCAGTAGTTTTTTTGTTTGTTTATTTGTGCTATTGTCAGTCTTTCTGTGTTGTTTTCCTCTGGTATGTGCGTGCGTGTGTGTGTAAGTGTGTTAATGCGAAAGATAAGACTGATGATTCTATTATGGAATAACAAGATTACAACAATAAAACCAATACACACGCACACACATACTAACAGGCACAAATAGAGTGTTATCACCACCATAATAATTAAATTGAGGAATGCATAAAAACTTTTTTGTCTTTGGGCTTGGTAATACACGCCTGTTTTTATCATCATCATCATTTTTCTTTGAACTACACAGATGATAGGGGATACTGGTGCAGTAGTAGTAGGTAGTAGTAGCAGTATATACACACTTTAACCGATAAACAGAGTGAAACCATAAGAATGACAACAAAACATGCGATGAAAGGAGATGGGAATTATAGTGGTAGCAATAATAATAATAACCAGCAATTTGAAACTTTCGGAAGTTAAATGAAGGCTAATCACAGCATCAATAATAATTGTAATAAAGAAACAATAAGAAAGCAGAATGATATTGAGTTAATTGATTTAAAAAATAAATAAACAAATAAAACGTGAAAAAAAGAACAAACAAACAAACAAAATGGGCAAAATACTTTTTTTTATCTAAAAACCAAACTTACATCTAAGGAGTGTATAAATGTGAAAAACTACATACACGTAGACAGAATCATAGATACATAGTCGATCTGAACAGTTTATAGAGCAGTAGTCATCATGATTTGATGATTCACAGAGAAAACAGGAATCCATAGTAATAATAATAATAATATTGTGCAGGAGTAAGACACAACCACAAAAGAGGGAGAAAGATGAAGACAGGCGGACAAAACAGTGTTGCACCAAAGACCAAATATTAAGGATATAAAGATAGTGACACAATGCACTCACTCACTCACTCAGACAAACAATGTTTCTTTTTTTTTCGTTTCATTATGTGTGTTTTTTCAAAAACTATCATCATCATCATCACTGTAATCACCATCATTATTAAAGGAGCAATATAATTTAAACTTGATTACACTGGAGTAGGTTAGAGCAATCGTTAAGATCGGATAACAGTTTGCGGTTACAATTATTCATAAGATGATGATTATCTGAGGATTTGGCACTGGTTTTATTGTTGTTGGCGTTGGCATTGTGGCTGTGTTTATTGTTTACAGATGATAGTGATTTTGATGAGAGAGACTTTACATTATGATTACTATTACTTCTAGAATGGTGATGATGATATTTAACTTTATTATCCACAGCACCGCCACCGGCAGCAGCAGCAGCAGTAGAATGTCGTGAGTCAGCAAGTCTTTGCTTTAGTAAGCGTAATTTATGCACCATCAGCGTCAACTGGATTTCATCCTCACGATATTTTGGTGTACGTGAACGACGCATAAATTTATCTAATTGATTTGCTAGATGTGTTGTATTTGCACTATCTAATCCTTCAGTTTTTGTAGCTTCTAATAGCTGTGTTCTCAGATTGCTTACAGTTTTCCAGATATCTGAGAAGGAATGATACATGCGTAGATAGGTTGGATAAGTACACTCGAATTCCGCTAAATACATTGATGCTTGTTCCGGTGTAGAAATTTGGGGATATAGTCTAAATTTTTGAAAAAAAATATATTATGCGATATGAAAATATTTATGAATGATGTACACACATATTAAGAATTTTCTTATTGACTATGTAATCCCTAAATATAATGCAAATTAGCGACTACGACATATTCGGAAATCAGTCATCCGGGGAACGGAGCTATGTGTGCCGCACTTATGTACTGTAAAAACCAATAATGCTATCCAATGGCCTAGGTTAAAGCAGACGAAGATGGAGCCAAATTCGAACTCGGGATCACTCTGTCTGAAGGTCAAGTGATCAAAGCCAGACAGTTAGCCAACCACCAATCACCACATCTCTACAATTGTGACATACACAGATGCCGATTACATTTACACAAATTTATAGATGTACGAAACTGTCACAGAGTTCGGCTGTATATGTGTGCTGGGGGGTGGGGCGTTTATTAAAACATAAAAGACTTATCACTGATACTACAAGTAAAGATATTTTAAAATATAAATAATCAATGTGAACACTTCTCTTTCGCCGTATGGAACTCTAATTTCACACATGATACGTATACCATGAAGTGCAACCTCCATAAACAGAAATGCACACAGAAGAATGAAAAAGGCTTATAAAGACAATCATTGTTCACACCACAGATATACATTCAGAAATAATTAATAGTAGTATTAAAATTTGAAGAGTAGTTAACGACGAGATGTATGTGTAGAGATCACCTCAGTTAAAAATACGAAAATGAATATGAAGGGGAATACAGGGGATGCGGAAATATATTTAGGATATTTTTAACTTCAGTGCATGGTAGAGAACAATATTTTCAACTTTTTTCATATTCAGTTTTTATCAAGTTTTATAGGAATACAGAATAATCCCAATATCGATTCCATTACGAATCAACATAAATAATAATTGAGTAATTGAAAGCCATGAAGTAATGGACATTTTAGTAGGTAATGTTTACACCTACAATACAAACACCAGCTAGGATGGTGACCATTCAACTACTCGGTTGCAGTTATAATGACCACTGAATTCTAACTTCTTGCATTTTACGATATCGCTAACCAATGACACAGATGTGCATCCAATTCACGCTAACATGTTAGATCTAACCGATCATATTATTTCTGCATTAGTACTTCAGGAAATGCCACAATTCAGCAGATATCATTGAGCTGGAGAATGATATTCAAATCCTGGGTTTTGTGGGAAATTCGATTAATCTCCGTATAGATTTCATCATTACGAACCCAAAATCTGATGTCGGGGACGGGTGAGCAGGGGTGGGGATTAGCATTAAAATGTTTCACCCATATTATGTTGTGTAGCCGAGAAGAGATTTTCAATAAATACTCATAAAAATATATATATATATACATATAGTATTTGGATCACTGAAGATTATGCTAATGTTGAATGCTCCCTACAAACAAAGCAATAGGGAATCCCTCAACTCTTATTATAAATCCTATTCAATGTTCAATATGAAGATATTATTATGAAATCGTTGAACACTGGATAGCGCTAAAGTTAAAAGTAACCAACCAACATTGAATGAATTGAAAAGATATATAATTAGATGGGGGAAAAAAACATACCGATCAATCTCTGCTAGTTTATTGCTTAAATCATCCGTTTGGTAATCAGTTTCAACAACATTCTGTGATAAAATTTGCTGAGTTTTGCCACAAGCTGCTGTATTCACTGTAGGCATATTACCTGAATTTAAAAAACAAACAAAAGTAGTAGAAAAGATAAGTGAATAAGCTAAGGGTATATATATATATATATATATTCAATGAGATTTTAGAATTTTAAACATTTAAACCATATATACAAATTAATCAGATAGTACTATGGTAAGACGAGTCTGTGATTCAGCTGTCCGGGGTTCAAACCTCGAACGACGACGCACTAATAAACCTCACTTATACAGAAGTAAGCTCGGTAAAGAGGGAAGACTGGCGCTGGGAGGCTCGTAACCTCACTCCGCAAAAAAAGAATAACACCACTTGCCAATGAAACGTGTCCGAGCTCAAAGCTTGAAGCGCTGTGTTCGGCTTGAAATGCGAAGGAATAAAATAATAATCATAATCATAAGTATTATACAGGTACGGGTGTTTTGAAGTGATTATTATTCAATTGTATTAACTCTAAATTACGTGCAAAAGCAAAAAGCAAACATCTTAATCGACTAGAGAATGAAATAGGTGAATATTCACAAAATGTAATCTTTCCAAAAAAACAGTATTAATACAGAATTCTTACAATCAATCATTTGTCAGCTTTACAATAAGTTAATTTAGATGTTTTCAGACATGATACATCAATATGAGCCAGTAAAAAAGGAATCAGTCAACCGACAGAATACCGTGTGCTTTTGAACTTTTAAGCATCAAAGTACAATGATTGATTAAAGAGAGAGAGAAAAACAACAACAACTTTGGGATGCATAGCACGTATACTGTTGTGACACATAACTAAGTGATTGTGTTATTTATTAATATAAACGCCAACATCATGAGTAGTCAATCGTGGTGAGTAAAGTTAGTAGCAAGGGTGACAGACTGCGACAGAGAGAGAGAGATAGTAATCAACTGAAACGCAATAAATAACAAAGTAAAAATCTACAAACAGCAAAATGAAAGAGCAGAATAGTGTATACTCATAATGAATTTCTTTTTTGCATCACTTGAAATATGCGTAGAAGACGATACAGTTTCATCAAATGCAGATTTATCCATGAGAAGCTGGAGATTTTGTTATGTTTACTGCATAAATAACACAATGGCAGTTGATTCACTTCAACAAAATAAGATAATACGGTTGATTCTGACTGACTGCTTCAGACGCGTTGTTATCCGTTGTCCGACTTCTCGGATTGGCATATTTCATTCATACATGTAGGTAGAAAGTTGAACCATGGTTTGTTGTGCTTCATTTCCAATTTATTTCCTGATTAATCAAAACAGATTGATTTCACATCCATAATCCAGAAACAAGAGTTGCATATTCCTCTTCGTTTCACTCTACTCCACTCCCCTCCTCTCCATATACATACACATAGGCATATATACACCACATTTCATATCCACACGCACTCACACATACTCAAAGGTCTATGGAAGATACATGTGCATTAGAAGTATATAATTAGGAAATTTTGTTTTGAATGTGATTTTGTGATTTTATGTTATCATGAATTGTGACTAACTCACTTTGTATATTGATCAATTCAGTAGTACACCAACCATGGAGTATGGTATTTTTTAAATATTTTGCTAAAGCTTTATAATCGTCAATATCATCATAACCATAACTGATGTTGTTAACATTCTTATATGAAGATTGATTATAATTATCTAAATCATCAACACTGTGACTATCATCCTCTTCCTGATTATCAGCAGTAGTAGTAGTAGTAGAAGGAGTAGTGCATAAATGATTTCCTGGTAGACAGGATAATGAATTCGCTATCGGATCACGATAATTGGCTATGCATTGTATGGTAAATGTATACTTTAATAATTTTATATACCAATAATTCAACCTGACAAGTTTGTAGACATTTTTACGTATCTCATCATCATTATCATCATCACCACAGAGTAGTAGATAATTACAGTTACTATTATTGTTATTTAAAAATAATTTAGAATTCACTCTTAGTGTAAATTGACGTCCATACAAATAATTATGCCACTGTTTACATGCCCATAAAAGTGTCCAGATTTGTTTTTCATCTGGAGAATAAGTTTTTTCAATTGATAATAATTTACGAAAGGCATATTTAATAATTTTTTCAACTCTATTACTACTATCCAACTGGTATAGTACAGCACTCAGCCCATAATTTGATTGACCAATTGACATGTACAAATTAGTCTTTCCATTGAAATCATTCGTCGTCATCCTTAGTGGAATTGTACAATTGATGATATACTGTCTAATCCTCTCGATAGCATTATCATATTCAATAGTCCAATGGAATGATTCCTTACTTTTTATTATATTCATTAACGGTTTAATTAACTCAATATAATCTGATCGACAGTCAAAGTTAGCATTAGAATGATGATGATGATGATGATAATAATAATAGCATAATCCAAGGAAACATTCAACCTCTGATAAATTTCTCGGTTTATTAGTATTAACAATAAGCTTGGAATAAGATAATTCATTATTCTCTTCAAGTTTATTATTATTCACTGGTTCAATACCATCAATAGATATTCGATAGCCGATAAATTCAATGAGTGTAACATTAAAAGTACATTTGTTTAAATTAAGACGAAAATTTAAATTATTCAATCGTTTCATTAATTTATGCAAATTATTATCATGCTGTTTTTGTGTACTACCATAAATGCATATTTCATTACAATAAATAATAATTTGTGATAAATCATTTAATGCAGACAGCATATACTTTTGCCAGACACCTGGTGCAGAGATAAATCTATTCGGTAAAACTTTATACTGAAATAACCCATCCGTTGTAAGAAATGCAGTCAGCGGTCGTGAATCAACTGATAAAGGCATATGATAAAATGCCTCTGCTATGTGCAACTTTGAAAATACTCTAGATCCAGTCAATTTTTCAGTTAATTCATTTAAAGACGGTGGATGATGAAAATCTTCAACAATTACTTGACGATTTAATCCGTGTAGATCGCATACAAGTCGTAGTCGACCATTTCTTTTCTTTTGTATTATATCAATCATAGGATGAATCCAATCAGAATTACTGACATGTTCTATTAAATCATCGTTCAGCATCTGTTGAAGAGCTAATGATACTAGTTTCTTTTTTGCAGCAAATAGAACAGGATAACACTGACGTATTTTACACGGTTTAGCGTTTTGTTGAAGAATTATTTTGTATTCTATTCCCGGTGGTAATCGGCCAACATCTTTCCTATACAGACTTTGATAGGCATGTTCATAATCCACAATAGAGATATGATTCACTAGCATACGCTCAACACATGGAGTTATGTGTAACACTACCATAGCATTACGACCGAGTAAAGGTTTACTAGTATTGTTATTATTATTTTTTCCTAGTGCAACGTATACTGCAACTTCAGCTGAATTCTCCTCCACACACAGAGTACACATAAAGTAACCTCGCATAGTTATATAATCATTACTGTAACTACCAAATGTATAAGATGTAGGATGAATTGGCATAGAGGATAAATGCGCTTCATAGAATGAATTCGGTATAATGGTAACTGGTGAAGCTGAATCCAACTCCATTTCAACTGGAAGCTTACGACCATCCACAAGAAAATATACAGTACGGATATCTGGAAGAGGTAATTTCGGTTCATGTGGTGTTTCTAACGGTTGATGGTATATTTGTTTTGGCATATATTTACTTGATTCAGTACCGATCGAATATATGGATTTGCATTCCTGTGCTTTACATTCTTGGACAACAACATCTGGGACAAGATGACGTTTCGATCTACAACAATTTGCATAATGCCCTAATTTGCCACAACTATAACATGTAGCTAAATGAGCAGGACATGAGGGATAATTTGCTTTATGCTCTGTACTTCCACAACGAAAACAACTGATTTGATATTTACGGAATTTTGAATAAACAATTGTTTCGCTTTTTTCTGTATCTCGATACCTAGGTAGGTTTTCTGCATGGATGCCAGCAATTTCGCACGCCTTCTCCCATGTTAATTGATCCACGTCCAAAGTTAATAAACTATCACGGATACTATCGTCTTTTATGCCAATTATTAACTGTTGAATCAGCATGACATCTTCTATTTTCTTTCGTGGGATATTATTGTAGTCGCATGATTTCACTCCATTCAATAAACGTGAAATATACACATCCACCTGTTCACCTTGCTCTTGCATCAATAACGAGAAATTTAATCTGGACGCATAAATATTTTTTGAAACACCCCATAATTTGTCCAGCATATTCAAAGCATCTTGTAAGTTTGATAATGACAATGACAAACTCTGATTATCAAAATAGCGTCGACCTTCTTCACCCAAGTAGTAGCGTAGGAGTCTGAGTTTTGTACATTCGCTTAGCTCACCGTCAGACGTTGAGGTTATCAAGGAATTCAAATATGACAGAAAAGATAACTTCCACTGTTCCCAATAATGAGATGATGGCTGACTTGAACAATTGTCCCAGAAATAAGTTGGTGTACTGATAACGTTTGATACTACTGGTTCTTTGATGACAGAATTGGTACACAGACATACAGACACATACATACAACCAAGCAAATTAACTTTATTACTTCCCTGCACACAGAAACATGAGAACAATAATTAAAAGTCCAAAAGGAAGGTGTGCTGAAGGAGACCACCACCAAACGAGTTTTCAAGACAAACACTATCAAATGGAGTAGAATAAACCCCGAATCAACTGTAAGACAACAGGGGTGGGGGGATTTGAAAAGACCAATGTGCAGGATAACATGGCACATCATAGGCTTTCAGATAATACGCTAACAATGAACTGTTGTTGACAGCATTGCGTGTTGTGCTCAGTAGGACAATAATAGGCAGCCTGTGTGAGTCTTTGGCTTCTAAATTGGTTTTATTGACATCTACTAGACGGACACAGTAACACTCCTGAGGTAATTTGTGCCTCATATTAGTGGTTAACCAGTGTTAGTCAGAGACATAGTTCTAAACTTAACCATTGAACTATTCCACTGGATTTCGATATGTTATTTAAAACACCGATGAAAAAGCGGACTGTCGTCTTATATTGAGAGATTAGACGTATAAGTGATTTAATGCCAATTTTTGAGCTGACGAACAGAAAAACGATACAGCACTACCGCTGCAGAGAAGTGTCTTAGTTCATATTGCGACAGTTCAAAACATAACACAAGCAGAATGCGAACAAAAATATGTTACCACAATGGGTGAATGAGTGTGGAAGAAGAGAAAATAAGTCAACGAAAGTTATTGGAAATATCCAAAATTTCAATGGTGATGAACGGTAAACATATCTATGATCGATCTGAAGCGGTCATACCGTGACATTCAGTGTATAAACCGCCAATTGAGTTGGTTAGGCCTAAGCATCATTCTCGACTAGTAAGGTTTAGTTTATCAGAAAAGCTAAGAATGATTACATCACTCAACCTTTATCCAACGGCAACGCTAGAAAATGGTTTGTATAGGTCATCAATTAACCATAGCCGAACAGGATCAGAATCGCACTTCAATTTATCAAACCAACCATGAGATACGCTTCATTAAAACTTTAGACCGATAAACAATAATTACAATTAATTTGTTTCTTTTATTCCTTTACGTTTCCAGTGGAACCATAGGGCTTCAAGCTAGAGGCCTGAAGTTTCTGTGGCAGTGGTGTTTATTTTTACCGGATGGAGTTGCTAATCTCATGTCCAACCTTCCCTATTTACCAGTCGAATTACTGGCTTGGCGAGGTAAAGAGTGCGTCGGCCGGGAGTCGAACCCCGGAACACACGCGCGGTCGGCAAACATTCCTACCGCTGCGTCACCGATAATTAATTTGTATTACATTTCAAAATGAGCAATTACATGTTGGCACGCTTTACTAGCAGTATCCTTACTTCAGGACACAACAGGACCGCTTGACTCAAATTCAAATAGCCCTTTCAAGCAATCATAGCTTCTGAGTTTACAGAATGGTACAGATTTCAATCCCGCTCCATCTGCTGAGGTTTGAGCAGCCAGGTAGTATCAATAACCTTCACACGACAGGTGTGGCTAACTGCCAACTACATGGAATACTAAGTAGTTATGGAGTAACACTGAATTTCTATCTCATCAAGATTCGTTGAGAATCTGGTATCATTATAGTTACATAGGGTTTTAATAAGGTAGAATCTCAAAATAAGAACACAAAAAAAACTCGACTTAATTACTGTGATAAGTAGGCTTGACTACTTATCAATCTAATAACCATGGTACAAAATCATGACTCAGCATTTTTCGAAATGACAGCAAGAAATAATAGTTAATCCAACTCGGTTACCCAGTACAAATTTTTAAGGTTTACTCAGCTAAGGACAACACTTGATTTATGGGTAGTAGTGATATTAATATCTAGTCACTCACATCAGCGTAAATGGAATGGGATTTAAATGTAGAAACTGCCAGTTGGAGGTCAAGTCCTAAGACCGGCACCTCATGCCTCCACTATTTACACTGCCATACATGTTGATTTTTTTAAACTTCGAAATGATTGATTTTCACTGCATTAAAAACCAGTATAAACTTTAAACAAACATCAACCCTTTAGCAATTCAACAAGACATCGCCATAACGTGGGATCTAGCATGTGCCCAGTGCTTCACCAGCTGCTGCTGCATGCAGTGGATATGAAAGCAACGAAAAAGAGGAACAATATCACTGATGATCGTGAAATGTTTAAAGCCAATGAAGAACTAAAGGAGAAAAATCGATACAACATGCAAGATCAAGACAAAAAATGAATGAATGTACATCAAGGAAAAAGTGACCGATAGCCACTGCTGTGACGTGATGATTGGGCTTATACAATGTTGAGGGTTTGAGGATAAAGTTGTATTACTGGTGGATAGGGATGTCACAGCACTAAGGCGTTTTCGCTGGACGTCCAGCAAGTCAGCAATGCTATCTTCCCACTCTCCAGATGTCAGTTAGAAAGAGTTGACCTTAAAAATCGTATATCCTGACCCATTTCACTGTACTCTGCAGCTGCCAGTGGTAAGAACTTCATATGGGCACAGTTCTAAAAGCTAATTCAAACACGACATGTGTGACCGACCTTAAGCAGTCGTCCTATGGGCTCTAAAGATAAAATACTTATGGTCTTTCTGTTACAAGTATTTCAAGAAATCAACTTTTACGATGTGGGCAGGCAGAAAGTAATAACCATCCGCACACTTTTATAAGCACAGTCCATAAACCACATCAAGTTAATCGATTCTGAGTCATATATAACATGGTCTTTAATTAGAGGTTTCCACGTTAGAAGAGTTTATCCAACATAACACACAGTGATACGGTATTACTAACTTGACGAGAATACGATTGTGAGCAATGAATTGTTCTTAAAACGTCATCCAGTTTTCAATACTGTATCATTGTGTTCTATTAAATAAACTTATCTTATATGGAATTACATTCTGCCATTGCTTAAGTTGTACAATTACATTAATAAGTTTATGTTATCTGATAGTTTATTTCCTGCACGGTTCAGAACGACTGTTAAACGAATAACAAAGTTGTAAGGCAACGTAGTGGGTGAAAATAACACGTTTATTTCGGCCAAAAGCGTGACTTAAAAATCTGTATTTTACTCAACTATCTATTAACTTATCTTACATATGTTAAACAAACCAATCTAAACTATGCATCAGTTGTTGCTTGGTAACCACTCGCGTTTCACATACAGTCAGTCACCTATTGTGTGAAGGATAATGAGACCACCTCAGTGCTGAAACGGGATTCGAACTCATGACCCAGTTGGTTGGAAGTTGAGCAGCTAAAACAATGAGCTACGTACAGCTCGACGATTACACATTAGACTATATTTAGGATTTTTCCAAGTGATAATCTAAATTTTATGTGATTTTTAAATAACTTTTGTCTCACTAATGAGAAAATATCCCAACTTCACAAATAACAATGTCAACATTTTCTGAAGTGCATGATTACCAGGACTGATTTATTCAGCATTAGTGGTTTAAACTGTCAATACGTCATAATTTTAAATCAAGCAGAAGTAACTAAAAGTTGCAGAGAGGGCAATAAGACATTCGGAAAATGATTAGAGAGAATGAAGGAAACACTTTTAGAGTACAATTTACTGCACAAAAATCGATCTTTTTTTAAAAAACCTACTCATGAGGAAAAGGAATGAGTTTTGGGGAAAGTTTGCGTGGTTTGTGGATTTCCGTTAAATATCCAACAGGTAGTGAAAACAAACAAGTACAAAATCCATGTAATATGTATGTAAATACATAAAAGAAAACAGTATGCACTACACCAGCCATTCTCAACAGAATGAATCGCTTATGACAAAGCTTTTAGAAAGATCTAGTTTAGTTGGTCTACATTTCATAACCTTTACGCTTTCCAAGCAGAACACACAGGGCTTCAAGCTTTGAATTTTTAGTAGCAGTGGTGGCTTTTTATTAGGCAGGGTTCTCCGCCTTCCACCCAATCCTCCCTAACCTCCATGCCTCTTATCTCCTAGTAAACTAGATGAAGTCCAAGAGGGAGTTTGCCGGGAAGTAAACACGTACCACATGTGTGGTTGGCAAGCATCCTACCACTGAACCACCACCGATGCACAGTCGCTCTAAGTAGCTTAGTGCATTAAACCTCTAACCTGTCTGAAAAATCATATCCTATACAAAATGTACGAACAAAAAAAGACAGTCGACTTCTTTAATACTCGTGACAAATTAATTGTGTATGATGCCATTGACGAATCAGTAATCAACTAATATGTACTTGGAAAAAAGCCAAATGAATTTCCAGCTAAAACCTAAAACAATATGCAAAAAATAAGAGTACATCGGTTGATTTTACCTACCTTATGATCTAATATTTAAAACTCGTTGTTTATCGTTCTTTCCCATTACCTTCAATAAGAATATATTACTAATATCAAGAAATCCAAACTTGGTGTCCTACTTAATTAATAAACTTTCACACAAAATATATGCATGATAAACTAATTTCTTACCATTAGTTAACTGGTCTTCAACACGTAATCGACTGGATAGAAACTCTGAGTGATGTGCAGATGATGCGGTTAAATGCCCACGAGATGCGGAACGGTCATGACTCATCGGTTCAATTAACCCTCCACGACGAATATCACTACTATTATTATTAATGCTGTTATGTACAATTCCACTTGAAGCAGTTAAACCATTATTTGAACCACCGTAACCACTGCTGCCAGTACTGGAATTAGAGAATGGTGTATGCTCAGCACTTTCACCTTCACTTCCACCAGCTGTATTATATGTACAAGGTTGACTTGACCGATTATACGTGTCAAGTGTATGAAGATTATCATGAAGAGGAGGTGAAATTGTCCCACTTTGACTATTTTCATCATGGCTTCGATTTGAAAATGAATGCATAACACACCTTGACATAGATTTATCAGAGGTAGGATAGGACAATTCCATTTGTTGGAGATCTGTTGAACCGGAGGATGTATTAGGGACATCTAATCTAGCACGTTTGTGTGGAGAAATAGTATCTCCAGCATTACTTGAATTTGAGCGCTGATTGTTAACTACATCATTTGATGTGGAGGTAGGAGGATTCGACAGACGTGCACCAAGAGATTTATCATTTGCCTGAGAATTTTGAGTGGAATTAGAGATCTGTGTTGAAGGTGCCGAGTCTGAGTTGGCATTGAGTCGACGATATCTCTATAGAAAGTAATGAAACACACTAAATAGCGACTTCCTTCTAATCATAAGTGAAAATCTACATATATGGGTTCAATCTAAAGTAAACAGTGAATGTGAAAAATTATTCACCTAAGTGAGTCAATGCATAAAGGATGATGCTTAATACTTAGAACTTCAAAATGTTTTTTTTATAGTATTGTGAAATTTCATCGAAGATAATCATTCAGTTGTCCACTGATATACGTGGTATATGAATAGTTAACTAGTAACCTGTAGTATTTCAACAAAATAAGCTTATTTCTTTGGCTGCTGCTGCTGGATTCAACATAGAACTTGGCACCGAAGTGCAGCAGTTCGAGTTGCCACGTTCCAAATAGCACACAAAGGTAGACAGGAAAAGGAGAGAAGAGAATCAATAGAATTTAGATAATCACTAACGAATGTATAACTTTGATCTGCGATACTAATAATTGACTTTATTGTCTGCTTAATGATCAGCTTGCGCTATTCAACATTTTGAGAAAGAGAGAGAAATTCGAAACACTAACTGACTGGTAGATTGACCAAAACTAAGATTTGTTTTCAGTGTTTAAGCGATGAAGACATCGTCACTCCCCCTTACACAAATATAGATGGATAACGCTTAGACGTGTTATCACAACCACATCACTGGAAGGCCTAGCCGTTTGAAAGTGACACAATAACGACATTTCCCCTTGAGCCCCGAGGTTCGGGTTATAATGAAAATTAATACAAATATGTCCAATCATTTTCCCAAGTACACAATATCGACGATACATATGCAATTCATGCGACTAATTGGCTTAAGTAGTCAGTTTTCAGCCAATAAGTTCCCAGGTTCGAATCCAAACCAATCTACATAAATATGATCAGCTGAATAGTACCACAAGGCCACACAGTGTGACTCATAGTCTGATACTTGGAATGTGTTCTGACTACATCTGCTCAAGACCTACAAAGGAGGGAAACAAGTAACATGTGTACTCAAGAGGAAGATAAAGTGTGGATGTGTCTCCACAGAAGTGTGATCGATTCCGAATCATGGCTAACAGAAGGTATGGATACAATCTAAATACGACTAATATCTACCTAAATATAATTAGGTATTAAAATGCTTCAAAGCCTCTCTTATACTGAGTATTTCAGTGTGAAAACAGTTCACATACGTTGGTTAGAAAAGGCATATGACCAAATGTACAAGAAAACATGAGTAACGTGATAAAATTAGTGTTGGAAAGTGACACACTAGGTAGTCCTTCAAAATATAGAGCACTCATTTTCCAGTCGATGGGTCCTGGGTTCGAATCCAGCCCCATTTACTTCAGCCTGCGCAACTGAGTAGTGTCATCAACCTTCACAAAACAAATATGGCTTACATAGACTGGTAGACGTAAAATTTATCCCGGATAAGTGAGACAATCAGTCGTTCACCGGGTCTTTCAGAATGCATACAACCACGCACTGTTGAATTTATGCGTAGAATGCCACAGATTAAAGATATGTCAGTGGATGACGTTGTGAATCTGTACAAATTGAGGACAAGCTGGATGTATACTATACAACTATATTTAAAATTGCTGTGTTACTATGGTCTAAACCCTCACCACCACCACCACCAGAAAACACCGACAATTAATAAAGTGAAAATAGAGACAGAAGTGTAGATTGTTGGAAAAGTCAATGAATCCAGTGTCATGGCTGAAATACGCCATAGTGAAATAACACATCACTTCGTATCCTATGCAAAACCCTGAATATATTATTTCTCGAATATTCCCCTCTCTTTGCTTCCCAATCTAATATCTCTGTACTCCTGTCAACCTGCTTTACCCGGACTGCTGCCATCTACAGTGACATAATACTCATTGAGCTAGGGTGATAAACCTCAATGTCACTTACGAATTAACAAACAATCACAATATGAACGAATAAATTTACTAAGTAAACAATAATTATTTGAGAAATTAATCATTTAACTTTGTAATTATATTCCTTAGGACATTATTTCAATGTGCAGTAAAAAACAATGAATATAAAACTTTTAGTCACCATTATACCCCATTCCTCATTTACTGTCTACCAAACTGTTATGAAGAATAATTCCAACTGAAAGCCAGAAACATAATCTTATGATGCCGAATAAAATGTAGACGTACACATATGTATAGGCGTACATATGTGCGTGAAGGACAGAAGGTTATGTAAAGAAGCATGTTTGAAGAGAGTTTTGCAAATTCGTCATAAACTGGTCAGATTATTAACAAATAACATCGATACTGGTTGTGCAGGTTCAACTTGTTGGAAAACCTTGTTACACCACTCTACCATGTAAAAGTAAAACAGTCTAATTATAAAATAAGTGCTTAAACTACTTGTTCATTAAGCCTAACACATGCAACTAAATTTATCTTAGATGAGAAAGAATATACAACAGTATGCCGAACTATTTCCTAGGTATACAATTTTTTTTATGAAAAGCACAGTGAACCACATTTAATGTGTAGGACAGTTTATAATATTATTACCCAACCTCCTAGATTAGAGTAAGTGAAGTGAGATTTGAAATGGAATGATTAAACCAATGAGCGATATAGTAGTTATAAGAAAAAACAATGTTATACAGTGTACCTTAAAAAGTACATAAAAAATTGCCACGCTTCTTACTACCTAAATAGGTTAGATATGCGTCTATATGTGCATTTGAATATATATGCTTAGGATGGAAACACTTAAATAAAAAAATACTCTGAAATGGTTTTTAAAACGACAAATGAATTTCATTTTACTATCCGGTGTATCTGACATACTTTTACACACTCCTAGACAATCAAAAACTCTTAAACTTGAATATTACTGGTGATGTCAAGCAGTTCAAGCGTTACTCGTGTTAATCATACTTTCTCAACAGCTCATTATTCACTTTTATATGGTCTTCCAGATTATATAACTTAACAATTTGATTTCATCATGATTATTAGAAATATATTACCCTCAATAATATACTCTCCTACTTTACACTAAATATTTACTCTTCCGCTTGATGAAGACCTTATAAAGACTTTGAACATCATTGTGTACTTTGTAATCCTACTTTCACTTGTTAACTTTTCTAAAATAGCATCCAAAAGAGATGAAAAGATTTAAAAACATGTGAATACACAAAGATCAGTTATATTGTATGTTTGAATAAGAATCCTTTTCATTTGACACTACACGTCATTAAGGCTTTTTACTTGATAAGAAACAAATGGAGGCGCTTTGAGTACACTAGTCGATAGAGATTCACAAAAAATGTTGGACATTTATCTAGTAAAGTAATATCCTTACCTCTCGGAGTTCTGACTCATTGGCCCGCCACTGATCTAACAATCCACGGAATACACCGAGACGAGCTGCCACCTCTACATCGCTAACGCCTGCGCAGAGCATATCCAGTGCAGCAATCTTTTTACTCAGTGCATGAGGAGCTGATGGAGCATTCGCTCTTGTTGGACGCCGAGTAAACTGATCATCAGATACTCGGAGGGAAGAAGGAGTAGATGAATTATCAGGAGAAGCAGTTCGAGATCGATCAGCAGGAGACTTGGGGGAGGTTTGGGACAGTTGATTAGTCTGGAAGAAAATGAAGAAAAATTAGACGATGAGAAATTGCTTTTAAAACCTTATGATTTGAACCGAATACGTTCACTTTTACATCAGTGACTGACTGACTTGTTTCAACATAGGACTTTGCACAGATGTGCTCCAGTTTGAGTTACCACACTCCATATACAACCCAAAGAGTACATAGAAAGAGATAATTAACAGAAGTATGAGGGAAAAAAGTAGTAATATGGAAGAACAATGGAGTTTTATTGGATATGATAAATCACAAAAATTGAATGCATCTGCGCCAGCCATTTAGAACGATTTTGAGCCATTTCACCAATTGTCTCCAGCCAGTGGTCATTATCATCCCGAGGACCCCAACCAGGAAGCCAGTCTATATCTCTCTACATGGCTTAAACTAACTGTTATGGATTTGACATTAAAGTGACAGAGTAGACATTACATCACATAAGTCTAATAACCAAATTACACACAAAAGCTAGTAATTAGTACTATCAGCAAGTAACATCAGTTCAAAAAGTTTTCGGCTTTAATAAGCAAAAAATACATCTTAAAAGCGACAGGACCAAGTGGTAACTAACCTTTAAAGACATGATCCGTTTTCTTTCAGCACCCGTATATCCTGGCCAATTACAATCTAATTCTGATATCACAGATGGTAAAAGATAATACGCCGACTGTCGTCCAACACGACCAACTGCAGACAGTATGTCAGAAATTTGATCTTTTTGAGTACGCGATAAACCATCGCGTGACAGGCGTAATAATAATTCGGGACGCTGATACGGTCGTAATGCCAGTATGTGAATAATACGTTCTCTGAGGTATGTCAAATGTACATTAATGTATAGGAAATTGTGACAATTAAGTTAAATATCTCACATATATTTTAATAGTATTTACTACAGTGAAAAAGTATAGATCAGTATATATGACCAGTAAATCACATTTATATTCACATGCTTATTTGCTTCTTATAAATAAAAAACTTATAACTGTAAGTAAACAACCATTGAAATATGATTAATTTAACCTATTTTACAATGCAGAAACTTTTCACGGACATTATAATATGATCAGCTTCACACAGAAGCGTGTTTTGTACAAAAAGCTTAATCTACTGACAGGCAATACCAACTTTGAAAAGTATATCATAGAATCGAAACCTTAAAAAAATCGGTTATACATAAACATATATATATGCTCTATTGATCACTTAGAAATAACATGATGCACTATGTGTGACTCAGACTGGTACATGGAAAATATGTCCAAGACGAGTCTTAGCTACTAATTGTGTTAATTAGCTGAGTCATAATATGAGGGAATATGACACTACCCAGTCACTTCAGCTGAAGTGCAGTCAAGTCTGCATTCAAGAACACTTGCTTAGAATCTGGGTGCTTTAGACCATGAGCTGATGGAACGTGACAAACTTATACGATAATCTACACTATGCAAAATTAAACTGTAGAGGACTATTACTAGATCATTAATTATGCCATGCAAAGCAAATAATATATGTCCGGAAAATGCCATAAAACTGTTTTAGGTGGGTTTTATTCGCTTATTGGACATGATGAGTGATATAATTATGACAAAAGGGAAACGACAATAGAGCCTTAAACATTTTTTGCTATATAATTAAAGTCGAAATATCCTGCAGAATAGATCACAACTTTGTGAATACAGAATACGGATACAATGTATCTGAATTCAGAAATCTAGTAACAATTTTAAGTGAATTAGACGCTGTGAAAACAACTGGATCTGACCATATTCCAGCAATTTTACGTGGTATTCCGAACCATAACGATCTTTTCAGGAACTACGCAACTAAATGCAATGAAAAATTAGTTATTCAATTCAGAACACATTCATCAAGTGTGGGTTTCAATTATATTTGCATTTAATGAATGCCTTGAACATGGAGAACGTCAAAGGACAATCTAATATAACTAGTTATTGTTTCAATTAGCAAAGAATGTCACGGTTAAAACAACAGAATAGTTACAGGTTGTATGAGAAACCACTACCCAAGCTTACTATAATGCTGAATTAAATCTCGCTAATTCTGAAATAATTCTAACATTCTTTAGTGAGTGAATTCTGATTCTGTTCTGAAATGGATTCTTTAATGGCACAGACTAGAACTCAGTACTGGTTTTCAGCATGACTGGCACTAATTCAGCACCCTGTTCTTTTTCTAGGCATTTTTAGGAGTAGATCAGAACCTACTGGGCTTGCTTATCAGCGTTGTTCCAGCCCTCACAGGACATATTAAGCACGGACTAGCGTTACTTCAGAACATAGTGGGTAGATAAAATCTTCATTGACGATAAAAATGCATTATCGAAGAATAGGTTAGAATAAGTTTAGAATTGTTGTAAGCTTGGGTAGTGCCGACAGAAATTAAATAACAGGAATAAGAGAAGAAAGTAGACATAGGATACGGGATAATGAGAAATGTTCACAGGAACGGCCTCTCTTTTGATTAAACCGATCCTCTACAAAATCTTTTATGGCATATTCAAGCTATTTCCTAGGCAAACAGTACCTAAATCTGGAGAATATTTAGGATGTATAAAGTCATTAGAAATAGGCAACTTCTTATCAAGAAACATGATAATTGAGTTTCAATGGCTAACACTCATATAAACCCGTACATTTCTCATAAATCAACGAAGTGAACAACGTGCGCTGAAAACACCTATCTCTCTATTGGCATATGGTCTCAGTAAACCTCTGTCAGGTAATTTCTCAATCATAGGAATCATACAAAAAAGGCAAAAAGGTAAGTCACTTCGTCAGTTTCAGTGTCTGGAATATATAAGCACGGGCTACTGCGGTTTATTTTGAATCTTCTTAATTTAGGTATCGCAGACAACCCAAACACGAACTTCAAGGTTTTATATAAAAACAGGGCTACAGAAAAACATCATATGAACTGTATAAAACTGGCTCGTAATAAACCTATAATAGTAGATGTCTCAGGAAAAATTGGAGTAGCATAAAGAGGAAATTACCATATTATCGTATCCTAGGTGTCACATGAATGAGAATCTGTTAAAGAATATTCATATCTAAATTCACTTTATGTTTGATACACTTACTGGATGACCATATAATGAAATAAGAGGGGAGATTAAAGACCTCACTTTGACGTAGTATGGATAAAGATGATACAAAAGATAGATTGTTTTGTAAAGAATGAAGAATACGTTTGATGAGTTTTTCGCTAAATGTAAAGAAGAACTAGTCTAACTCGAAAAACTAGTCATTTTAATATATAACATTTAGCTTTTTAACTCCACACCATTATTAAATATACTGAACAGTATGAGGTAAATAAATACCTAGGGAAGTCGTGTGATTATAACTGATATGATTATGAATAATAAATTCTGTTCGAAACATTATCCTGTAAATAATGCAGTTTCACTGTGTGATATATCTAACAAACAAACTAATATGGAATACCTAGAGTAACCCAGTAGTAACATATCAAATCTATTCTCATAGCAACAATAAAAGGAGGAAACAAACGCACCTTAATGAACGTGCGGAAACCTCCGGGTTCGCTAACGGTGGGCTGGGACCACAGCCAGCAGGATTCTGTGACTGCACCCGATTGAGGTTAGGAACATCCGCATTTTGAGATGGAAATTCATTTCCTTTCCCCTTCGAATTCACACATGGACTGCTTCTTTTATTAGAGGACTGAGATACCGAAGTTCGCTGAGCTAAAGTTTTCGACGATCCAAGTTCTTTCGTCTGTGACTTTTTATTTTCATCTTCCAGTTGAGTCATCCTTTCTTTAGCCGCAGAGAAGCTATCTTCTTTGGCGTTGACAGTAATTCTGGATGACATTTTCCCCAAACATTGGGTCGAGTTCCTTAAAATTAAATAAGACCTTAAAAAAGCAAACCTCACCCTCTGATACGCAGGCAGTTAACGGACTCATCATGAGTACTTGTTACACTTGAGGTACCAAATGTAAACCTGCTGCTTTGTTTTCCAACAGGTACCACAAACGACTATAAAGGGTGAATATATTAGGTAATAAGACATTACTCCTTCGGACCCATTGAAGGTTATTTTGAAAGAATGGTTGCCCTAGAACAATACATCAACAAACTTAGTTGGAAAACTTACGGGGCTGCTAGCTAGTTGTTCAATATCTTTCAAAGCAGAATCAGTAAGACGAAAGTGAATTAGTTCCAGATCATTGCATGATGAGTCATCGAACACAAAACTTGAGTTTTTTGAACAGCGAAGAGACATATCAAACTCAGGTGCAACGGATGTCGGAATCAGCTGGAAACCGAACCCGCTAATAATTCAAAAATTCGGATTATTGGATGATTAAAACACAAGAATTTTACATTATGAAATAACAGTAGGAGAATGTCTTTCACGTGTCCATATCTAATAAGAGTATATTGCATAATTTTTTTCCCAAATGAAGTGTGAAGAGAAATATATTATTTGGGTTAGCACACTTTTGAGGTGGAGCGACAATGGTAGCTTCTCTGAACTTATGTTCTTCGGACAAGCGCTTTGTGCACCAGGTTTTGACACTTACACACTGAAAATATACCATGGGATACGAGAAAGTTGTCAGCAGGCAAATATAAATTTGTACTGCTGCAATAAGCTTTTGACTTGACGCGAAATCACAAATAAAATTATATTAAGAATTTTTAAAAATCTACCCCATTTACACATTTCTACCTAACAGTAGTGATTAGACTTGGATGGTTAACGAAAGAGGGGACACATATCAAGATTAGCCTAATAAGTTCTACCAGACTATTGTTTTCCACTGCCTTTGGCAATAATTATTCTCCTGGTCACTTCACCCTACTCAGTATAGTCTGCCTTTTTCTACTCAGATTTCCCTTAACCTAAAAACCTTTTATGTTCTTGTTTCTTGGGACAGCCTCCAACTATATATACACGGATTCATAAGAATTTTCGTTCTAAGCATGTCCTCATGTAGCGATGTGTTTGGCGGCATACTGAAAAGCATTTGTCACAAAAGCTAATAAAGTAAGAAAATATTATATGCTGTGACTGAAATAGACGCAAAGCAGTGCAGTGCAACAACTACTGTAGCTTCCATGAACATTTCCCTGTCAAATATAACCAAGGGAAGAGGGACAGTGTATACTGACCGGCTCCTTTGGTATTGGTCACAAATGCCGATAAAACCTACCCGTAGGATAGCAAATGGGTCCTAACAGCCTTTGATCCGAGTATCGCTGCAGATTCCTTTCCGACAAGATAGATTGCGTATACCTAAATAATAGACGTTTGACCTGCTACCATTTTGTCAAACTGCACGCCCAAATGCGACCCCTCTGGCAGTACAAAAATCCATAGGAAGTCCTGAAAGTCGGTGTGCTCTAAGTAACCAGACTTTCAAACGTTATATGTGGCTTAACCATAATTTATGTACATTACACTCTTTTTTAGTCAGGCATCTCCAAGTATTACAAATATCTTACTAATTATTTTGGCTTTTATCAAGTCACTGCTCAGTCCCTTAGCTTGTACTAACTGCTAACCCATAGCTTAGTTGTGCAGAAATGATAGCTACATTTTTGAACACCACTTCTTTTTCATCATAACTAGTGCACATTTCATAACTAGGCTTTTACTGTCAAAATTATAGGCTGGAAGTGTGTATTTACTGTCCAGTGTGTCGTATAATTTCTTTGTTCATTCACTTGTAAACGAAACTTTCCATACAAATTCTCTTCATTGATATAATTTTATGCCACTTTATATTTTAACTGAATTATTTCTTCAATGTAGGTGACAATCTGAAAATAAGCATGAATAACAGGATTTCTGCCTGGTAAAGACCGTGGAATATCAAAACGAAACTTAAACGTGAGCACAACCTTGTAAGTTGATACACCACTTAATATCGGACTCGACACCATTTTGATAAAAAACCTCAATAAACTGAAAACCATGCCACTTGTCGAGACAACATAATATGTGGACATTTTACAATTTAAATTTACAGCCTGACAGATTGCGCTAGTAAAACTAACACACTTCTCAAGTGGACACTTCGTTCATTCGAAAAAATGCTATCATTCCAGCTGTGCAGATTTCATCCAGTATTCAAATGTGACATAAATTTCTCAGGGAATAGCGGACGAACTATTAAGCAACCTGACGTCCACCACGACCTATTCGGAGGACTTGCTTATTTTTCGCTCGAATATAGACACTTATGGGGGTCACATCTTGACAGTGTTAAAAAACAGAAGAAAGTGGCACCACAACTAATCAAGACATTTCTTTCAGTGGAAGACAACATAGCTCCCAGGGTACATCAATTATAGTTAGAGGAGTGTGCTACTACTTAATGGGATATATAACATTAGGTAGTACAAACTGCCTACCTCACTAATTCACATCCGTGCTTTTCTTAGGTTGATTAGTTTCTACAGCCGATTCACGCCCAGTTGTGTACAGCAAGCGTGACTGTTAACTAATTCAATGGGAATGCAGCCAAAATATTTTAATTTGTCGGAGGAAGCATTTTATACCACTGAGCAGCCAAACACTACACTTGCCCATGCAGTGACTCTTCAATGTTGTGACATAGGCGCATCTCTTACGATGGTAGTAAATTTGAGAGACACTGCTATGAAAGCCGCCCTCGGTCAGCTGAGTAAAATTAGTCAGGAATCAGCGGTATTTCTTTGCAAAGTTTTACCCCTGTAGAACGCAGGCGCTTTAACTTTCCTAGGGAGTCACTAGCAGTGTTGGAAACTCCCATCTTGTGGTAGCGACCAGGACATCAGTGACCTACACAAATCCTAAGACCTTCACCTATTCCATAAAAGATTTGCAACCTTCATTCTGCGTCGCACTCTGTCGGTAATACAAGGTGCATGGAAGCTCAGCAGGACTGTGTCAATGATCGGAGGCTTGGAATACAAGTGAATACCGTCAAACCAAAACCGTGAACGGAATCGAAAGACCAACAAAGTGTTGAAACACTTGTACGGCAAATAACCCTAATCTCAAACAGTTACCAATAATTACAGATAATGACTTGATACATTATGAAACAAAAGATTCATCTAGGTCCACTCGCCCCTTAGATAATGTGGAAGTATGCATTAAACAAATTTCATTCCTTAAGATGGTCTGCAGCCGAACCATCAGCTTAAGTGGTCCCTGATAGTCTTATCTGACTATACCTAATATGTAACCTCCAAAATGGGTGGAGGAATGGCCAGCATGCCAAAATGGCGAGACGTTTATTTCACACAATTATATTTCAGTCTGATGGGTATCATGGCGCACCCTAATGACTTCCCAGGCCCACTGGGACTCACTAAAATATTCACGAAATTCCGTATAATAATACTCTAGGAAGCCTGCTAGTTTCTCCACCCGAGTGAATTCGAGCTGCTTCACAGATGACTTAAGCCAAAAATGCCATTTATGATTGTTTCATAACTACATGTCCTGCTAAACATGCATTTCGGCAGCATTGCCTGCTAACCCCTTAGTCTGTCGTACCTAAACTGGTGGCCAAACAAGCAAATAAACAAATTGATAATTTTCGTCCAAGTTGCCTCAGTTTCAGTTGTATCGATAGAATTATTTGATCCTCTACAGTACCACTTACTCATAGTGCAGCCGAAGCAGACATAAAGCAAAATGTTCCGAATCAACCATACACATTTAACCAGCCCATTACTACAAAGACTGAGAGTGGAAATCTTCTCGAATCAGAACACACAAACGGCACATATAAACGTATAAGAAGATAAAAACGCGAGGAAAAGGAGATCATCCTTGATAAAAATCGATAGAAGTCCCTCAATATCAAACAAAGGGTATGTTATTATTTTACTCTTATACAACATACTGAACAAAGGTATTCCACGCAGTGAACTCGGTACTCGATCAGCACACGAAACCGACTACCAGATGTCCAGATTATAAACTGCCAAAGACGCTATCGAGAATTATTGTTGTTGCCAGAAGATAACTATCAGAACCCAGAATACAATTTCGGTACTTCATAGCCAACTCAGCTTCAGTGCGATTGATAATAAAAGCGAAACCAGAACGTTGAAAACTTTTTGCTCAGCTGACAATAAACCAATAGAGCGAAGTTAACTATACAGCAGCTTGGCTACAGTTCACAGCTGGTTACTGTAAATTAAATAAATGAAGTCTGCAAATCAACATGTATGTTAATATATCTGATCGTATCGCTCTGGTCTTCTGCCCAACAACAATCGTCTGAGCCACAGCGGGGATTATCATCCGCAAAGAAAATAAAACTACTTTGGACATCCATTCAGTGTTCACCGACCCTGAAACTGGTATTCAATGCCTTATAACAGCAGCGATATTTGAAATCACATCGAAACTCCCCATAGAGTTCCCGAAACTTACGGCTGAAAACAACAATCTGTACCAGAAAGCGTATGTCGATATTCTTCTACTTTATACGACTAGATTATAGATGTCAACATGTGAACAATAAGGAGTATTGTTAATTCTAAAAGCCTTGGATTTTCTCACACGCTCTTATCTGCGAAATGACGGACCACAACCGAATTTAGCCATCTATACGCTTTACATGGCAACAAAAATAATCTAGAACTATAACAAATAGACAAAATTGAATCAACTTAATATTAACCGGATGAATGTCCTGCCTGCCTGCGGGTGATTCCGATGTTTTAAGGTTTGCTTTGACAGGTTTGCATGAGGTCAGGTTCAAATACCATCTTTTATTTCCCTTATCCTGTTGGTAACTCACACATTCCTGGAGTCCGTGGTTAAGCTGAACTATCCAGAAGAGTATTTATATCTCCTCCCAAATGACCTCAACATTCTATTCCTTTTAAATATGCTGTCCATCGGAGCATTAACCTAAGTTACTGAGTCCTTTCATTTGTGATTCGCGATCGGTACTTGTAAGTTAGGTAGCGTACTGGTTGTGCGGATAACTTGACACACTTCCCTTAGTGAAGATGGCTTAGTGTAACGTATTTTCGCGCTTAGTTTGGGTTATCTTGTTCATATCATCAGTTTCGGTGAGAAATGGAAACACGGAACTAGTTCTAGGCTTCTGTAATCTGAGTAATTAATATTTTCCTATATTTTGGTCGTAATGTTACCTAACAGACAAAATATTATACTGCGTAACTAAGTAATATTAACATATAAAATATTACGTATGTAACTACAACTCAAATGCATGCGAACCCATGCATTCATAGTCACTGCTGACCACTGCAACAACTGACCCATCTAAACACAGTATTTGGAACAGAAAGCCTTGTAG